GGTTTATTCAAAACGATATGATTGTGGCGGGCTCTGTGACGTAATAAGCCCGACCAATCAGCTCCTAGAACCATTCAGATGACATAACGACTTGGCAATATTGCAGGAGAATAGCATTTATAACTTGCGTCATCTGTCACAGGCACTTGTCACTTTCGTGCTAGATGCAGTTAAACATCCCTCTCAAAACGTCAAATGTGACAAACGTCAGACCCTCGCGTAAGGTTGCCAGCTCACTTCTACGTGATTGGTTGTAGGTTTCTGACGTATTTAGTCTGAAGCGTTTCAAATTCGGACTAAAAACACAGCTTTTCAATAATTTATTTTGGGTTTATTTTACTCGCAAATAAAAATTGAGGACACACGGGTTTTTTATTTTTAATGTACTTTGTGGATCAGAAATAAAAAATGAAGGCGGGATGAGCCCATTTGTTATTTTAAAAGCATGATGGTCCTGTAGTTAAGGGCTGAGTGAATTATAAAAGTGACTACCAGAAAATGAGCTTAGTGCCAAGATTATTCGCCAAAAAATAGCAGTGCCGGAATAAATTTACTAAGGAAACGTATTTCAGCTTTATTGTCGACATCATAGAACCTCCCATTGGTGAGTAACCCCGCGTTTTTGTTTTTCACACACTAGCGATGTATTATTAACCAGCTTGCGTTGTTTTCACGGAGAAGCTTTGTCTTTTTGTAGAAACTCGATCAGAAAGATATTAAGTAAAGTAAATTGGGAAAAGCAGTATAGAAAGCTCAGTTGCCAAAACTACTCCGTGAAATATAAAAAGAAAATAAAACATATCATCGCTTTTCTTAATGACCTTCGATGTTTATGAAACCCAAGTTTAACTTTTTTATATTTGCGAGTTCCAAATTTTACCCAATTTCCTCTTGAATCAGAAAACGTACTAGCCTCTTCGACAATAAAATTTTCTTTATTCAATATAGAGAGGGACATATGGAATAAGGAAACGGAACACTGCACTTCGTGTGAAGCGGAGTATTTGTAAAATAATAATAATTCAGATTACATATGTATTTATTTCCCGGGAAAAGTATAAATAAGCACACATACCACAACTAAGAAAAACAATTCAATTTCAACAAACTAGTTGAGTGGCCGTGGGACATTTTCAATGAATTGTCCTTGAACATTACCAATCGGGTCATAATTGCAGGCCACGTACACTATATTTTTAGATGATTTTGCTACACCGACACCCAATTTCCGACTACTTTTCCAAATTAATTGAGTAAAATGATAAGTACCCTCCATGCCATCGTTTGTATTGTAATCGTACTTTTGACTTTCATTGTACCAAACTTCTACTGCTGTCAATGCTATGTCTTGATTCGTTTGTTTGTATACAGAACTCCAAAACAGGTTTTCGCCATAAGGGTTGTTTGGACGGTGAGAAAACGTGTCTGTTTCTGCAAGATGGTTGGCCCAGTCTTGGGCGAAATTGTTCAGCTATAGTAACATAAAATTTGATTATACTTTGGTACTCTAGGTAATGCCAATACAATTCAGATGACTTAGTCTGTAACTGCATTGCATAATTTCAGACACTGTTTTTTTAAATGATTGCTAATAATTTTGACTAAAAATTAAAAAAAAAAAGTAATTATACCCGACTGTCCAAGGTTAAGGGAGGTACTCCATGTTGCGCTCTGTATCGATTGTGAGCATTCAAAACGGCAATATTAAGTCGTCGGTCTCCTAAAACTTTTACACACTTGCTAATATACTTTTTTGATATAAAAGTGTCCCACTTACCTGCCACTAAACTGGCACCTACAAGGAACAGTAAAACCAATGCTGCTTGCATGTTTAACTTCTGAAGTTTGAATGAACCGTCAGAAGTGGTACTCTTTTATACAGAGTGTTATCACTTCTTTAACGATAATATTCCTAGCAAATATGCCAGATATTCATTTTTTATTTATCAAGCACATTTTTAGCAACCGTAACTACCTATGATTGATAATATTTGCGAACTAATTGCGCGTGTAATTATATGCATGTAAATGAGGCAGCACATATATGAAATTTTCCTTTGATAGTGGATAGCACTCTGATTAGCCGAAATTGGTGCAAAAAATAGTAATTTAAACGTCTGCATCGAGTGGGTATAACCAATTAATTCGGAACTCTTTGCATCCCTGGGAAAACGTGGTAACAATTAATGAATAATTCTGAACATCATGTTTATATAACCAATTTTTAATTCAGTTAATTTTTATGACATTATCTTTGAATGTTTGAATTGCCAGAAGCATTTTGGATTCAAATTCAACTTTGCCATGAAGTTTGACGTTAGTCGATAATCAAGGCATTTGCGAAGATATTGAAATACGAATTTCTGAACGTTTCTTTGCTAAAGTCAACTTCTAGGTGTAGGTAAAGACATCCCCACAGTACACAATCTTTGCACAAATTACCTTTAGATTTTCATTCTCCTGTTCATATTATATTTTTTAAGGGTGAAATATTTTTTATAATATGGAAATTGACCATGTCCCTGTCATGTCTAAACGTTTGAAATTGTGAATAAAGTAATTCGCTCGAGAAAGGTAAATCTAAAGATGCAAGGCTAGCTTAGTTCGTTAGGTTATTCTTTGGGGAAAATATTTTTACTTTTCCCTTTGATCACAAAAGCAAAGAACACCATCCTTTTTTAATTCTGTTTTTTCTATTACGATGACTTTTTTATGTTTTTTTTTCATCTTATAGCATCTTCAAGAAAATTCTTATGAACACTGTAAATAATTTTAATATGTAACTTACGGAATTCAAATATTTTATATTACATACAATGACATTAATAAGTCCTATGAAGGAAATAGTGCTTATATATTTTTCTTATTTCTACTAATAGTACAGTCAATTTGGCACGAAAAACTGTCGTTTTTGGAAAAAAATACCTTATAATTTTTTTGCATAAATCGTTGTTACCTTAGAAAAGCTTAATTCCAAAAATCCGGGATAGTACCGTGGGGCAATTTTGAGAAAACTCAAAAAGTTTTTGGATTCGATTTATCTCGAAAACGATAAGTTTTTCAAAAAAATTTATTGAATAAAAAATGTTGCGGACGTTATTATCCCAAAGTTCCCAAAAAAAAGTGTTTCTACTTTTTCACCGAAAAAAAATTTTTTTCTCTCGCAATTGCAAATGCAAACGTTATTGGCCGTGCAAAAACCTACAAAATGCACATACACTTTTTTTTACGTACACAGAAGCAGAGTACGTGGTCCGAAAGATTTATGTGTACATAATTGTGTATGTACATACTGTACTCATAAATACATATGGATGTTAACTTAAGCTTTTTTACAAGGACAAAGTTAAATTTTGTTTTACGTGCAGTATTTAACTGACTTCTGTCCTTGGTCTGTTAAATTTATGTTTTGTTGAAAAGAATAAAGTTTATTTCTTAATCCTTGTGTCCACATTTATTATTTTCACTAGTTTCGCGATAATCCGAAAATTTGATAATCCGAAAGGTCGGTGGTCCGAATCGATTCGGATTAACGAGGTTGTACTCTACCTACTTGTTTTGATTACTATTTTGTTTTGTATACGTGAACCCATTTTATTGAGGGGGCGTGTGAATAACAATAAAATGTACTTGTTTGAAAAGAAAAAGTTTGGCAACATCGTGTATGTAAAACGTGGTGTGTATGAGTTAGGTTATGAAGTTATGTAGTTGTGCACGTGTTTGTTTCCAGTTTCGTTTTAGTTCTTTATGTATCAAGGGCATTAAGGCGATATTTATGCCGAGGGCGACAGAGCCCGAGGGCTTCTGGCCCGACGGATTGTAAGTCGCCCGAGGGTTAAATATCGAGTAATGCCTGAGGTGCATACAACATTTTATTTTTCATCGTTCCAAATAATGCATTTCCAATATACAAATGTAATGATTATTATTTTTCATTTGCCTATTATATGCCAATTATATCTGTCATATGAGATATATAAAGCAGTCTATGACGCCCGAGGGCAGAGGGCATAATGAGATGACAATCCATTATGCCCTCTCATTATGCCCTAAAACTGCCTGTCAAATATATTGATGGAGTTATGTCATAAAAAAAGGTGCTACTTGATTCGTATGAAGCACTAACCAAATATATTATGTCCGTAATACATGTTTTACTCCAAATAAACGTATTTCCAATATAACATTATTGAAATCATTTAATTAGATCACCATACATTTGTGACGTCAACTATTGTTTATGTTCTATCCCTATCAAGTGTTTTATTCCTTTTAGCTCCCCGGGCCAGAACAAGGATCTATTCCTATAGTATATTCGTAATGAAAGTAAAATAATCTTTCCAACTATGTGTTGTAAGACCTATATAGCCATTTAAAAAAAGCAAAATCTCCGTGTCAAAAAACCATACGGGACAAAAATTTTCTTTTCATGCTTTAAGTCCGAAAACTTTCAAACTGATATCTCCAACCGTTTTCACACCAGTGCTTTGGTTCCATCTTTATTAGCCACTCTGTATAATATGTTCTTTAGAGTAGATGTCTCGGATTCTACGATGAACCTTCGATCTTCCAGGAACGATCGGACATAGTTAGGTAAGATGCCATGTAAGTTATATTTTTACAAATAATGATATTATTATAAAAAAACTGAGCGTAATCTAATTTGGTGTCGGTAGTTTGTAGGTACTATAATTATTGATCACAATTATTTAATTTAATTACTGATGTTATGGAAATTACACTTTCGGGTTGTCTAAACAGTTTTGCATTTGGGCTTAATTAGTTTCTATCCATTCAATCGATCATTAGCGGAAACAACTAATCTTCTCATTACCTTCCTATTGTATCTATACATTTCCGAAAAAGTACAAGTATACTGATACCTGAAATAATAATTGAAACAATTACCCTAATGACACTGTCATATCATCTAAAAGGTAATTAAGGCGTATATAAATCGTAATACCTCCTTATCGAAGCTTTTATTTGGCCCTTGGTAGCAGAGTGAAAAGACTACAGAAAGTTTTGAAAGTACATTTCTTTAATGGTGACATCAGTTTCATCAAAAACTAGCAAAATTGTAGAGTTTTTACATTAATTTTAAATTAATTTTGTATTGAATATGCAAAAAAAAACACTGGGGCGAAAATCTCCCCACCTGGTACCTGTTTTAATTTTTTTAATCACGACACCTTGTTTCATTTCGGAGGGGTCCAGCAGGAGTTAAAGAATTTTAATATACTTTGTTTTAGTGGTTCGCCACAGTGACGGAGCATTTCGTTACGGATACATCGCATCCCGGGGAATGTGCTGTCTCCTGATCGGCTTTGGTTTCCGCTTTTCGAGAACAGTGTGTGTAAACATGATCAGCGATATATTATTAGTTATTTCCCGTAGGTCATTTGTCACCTCCCCGTCTGTCCCACGGAGAAATGCTGGGTATCAGGGAAACAGCAGGAATCTGCTTCCAGACCTATCCGCTGGTAGCATCCGGTGTGATGGTACAGACATACTCTCGTCACGACTCTCTTTGAGCTTCGCGAATTCTCCGACGACACTCTGCTGTACGTTTTTTGAACACTATTAAGGTTCTCTATCGTGGGACAGCAGTGAAGTAGGTACCCAAATTCATATTTCAATATGATCATCGGCTAACGTCACAGCTCACGGTAATACTGTATTACCGAAGTTTGCTTAAAACACGAAATTTGAATCCAAATTGCTTCTCGCACACCAAACATTCACAAGAAATTTAACAAAAATTAACTGATTTAAAAAGGGTTATAAAACACTATGCGTATTAAGAATTTCCCTTAGCTTAATGCTACCGCGTTTTCCTAGGGATGCAAAGGAATTAATTAGCTATATTCACTCGATGCGAGTTCAAATTAATATTTCTTCTAATTGGAATGTTATTTAATATGGGAAAATTTCACACATATGGTGTCTCATATAAGTATAATTACAGGCGCAATTAGTTTGCAAATTGCACCAACCATAGGTAGTTAATGTTGCTCATCGAGTATTCCTGAGACATAAAAAAATAATATCTGTCATATTTACGAGCAGTACAATCGTTAAAGAAGTGATAACACTGTATAAAAGAGTACTAATTGTGACTGGTCATTCAGACTTCAAAAATTAAACATGAAAGCAGGATTGGTGTTACTGTTCCTTGTAGCTGCCAATTTAGTTGCAGGTAAGTGGGACATGTTTATATCGCAAAACTATACTATCAACTGTGTAAAAGTTTTAGAAGCCGGGTACACTTAAGGCTAACGTTTTGAAAACTCACAACAAATACAGAACACGACATGGAGTACCTCCCTTAATCTTGGACAGAAAGGTATAATTTGTTTTTTTAATTTTTAATAGTATTACTACTCCTGTCCTAATTATGCAATTTTAGACATGATATTTTTTGGATATTCTAGGGATTTCTAGCAATTATTAAAACAAAACCGTGTTTGACTCCAAACAATGTCTGAAATTTTAATACAATGCAGTTGCAGATTAAATAATCTGAATCGTATTCGCAGTACAGTATCAAAGTGTAATCAAATTTTCTCTTACTAGCTGAACAACTTGGCAATGGACTGGGCCAACAATCTTGCACAAACAAATTCGTTTTATCACCGTCCAGAAACCCCTTATGGCGAAAACCTGTTTTGGAGTTCTGTCTCTACACAAACGAATGACGAGATAGCAATAGAAGCAGTACACGTTTGGTACAATGAAAGCCAAAAGTACAATTACAATACCAATGATGGCATAGAGGGTACTTATCATTTTACGCAATTAATTTGGAAAAGTAGTCGGAATTTGGGTGTTGGTGTAGCAAAGTCGTCTACTAATAGAGTGTACGTGGCCTGCTACTATGACCCAGCTGGTAATGTTCCAGGACAATTCAGTGAAAACGTGCCACCGTCACTGTATTAATTGTTGAAATGGAATTGTATTTGTGTTGCATTCAGAAAATCTAAAATAAAACGGAAAACATAACAGCATGTAATAATTGATCGATATAGAATTTTTTTCGGTATGTGAAAATGCAAAAAAGTAAAACATGTTGTATTTAAAAAACTTTCTAAGGTTTGAAGTTTTTAGAATTGATCATTAGTTTTAAAACATCTTACGATTAAAATTTAAATCACTCTCGTGTAGCATCAAGTCAGTATTGTAGATTTTGGAAGACTTTTTGAAATTCAAATCAACGGAATCATATGTAGAAGGCTAAAAGAAAATGAGTCAAACGTCAAAAATTTTGAAGAATCTCGAATAATTTGAAAACCTGCTGGGTATAGGGAGATGTGGTATCAAGTGGTATCAAACAACGTAGATTTCCATGTAGATTTTGAAATGCAATAAAAAATACAGGATGTTTTATTTAAAATCAAAAAGTCGGTATCCACATCCGGTGAAACTATCATATTTTCTTTCAGTAGGTATTGAAAAACTATGTCGGTATGGAAATTTTTATGAGAACCTGAAAACGTTTAGGTAACGGTACAACCTGTATACATTTAAACCGTATTAATAGCTTCGGGATGAGTTAAATGATTTTGTTTTTTGAAGTGACTACTTATTAATTATACCTGTCACCATCAGCGATCAACTGATTTTGCATACTGTTCGCTGTTCGTACCAGTTTTACTGTTGAGACGCATTTGTTTGGTTTTATTGTAGTTTCATTTTTACATCAATTAAAGATGACTTTTAGAACCTACATAACATCAGTCAGGTTTTATAATAGACTTCGCGCCAAAGGACCAACTCTACTCGGTTTCTTTACCTTAGACTTTAAATTTTTGCTCATAATTGATTTCTTTTTACTTATCTTAGCGAAGGTAATGCAACAGAGGCATTTATTTATTATTATTATATGAACTTAACTTAAATCGAACCAGAACTGTGTTATTTCAAAGTAACTATCGGTTAGTTCGGAAAATTTAATCTCAAACTCTTCGGAATATTAAAAAGGAGAAAGTTATTGAACCTTCGATAGAATTTTCTTCAAGGGCACCGATTGAAAACCAGTTTTATGTGTTGTTTACATGTAAACAAGCACAAGGACAAATATAGGAGAATAAATGCGACGGAAAAGCGTCGTCGCTACCAACCATAGAATTTTAAGCCGTCGATAAAACATCAACCACTTTTATACCGACTTCTTTTAATTACTACTAAACTAAATAGATAACGAACCCCCGAACTACCCTAACCTTTCTGTATAAGTTGAATCAAACATAAGATTGTGTTATTTTTAGCATTTGTCGACTTCTTTTGGTTGTAAATTTATTACAATCCCTCTCAAAGCGGCTATTCATATGTGAAATCCTTATTAGGGTCAAATCGTCTTTAAAAATAAATAACTGGAGAGGCAATCGAGTGCATGCACATTTACATTAGGAAATATGTCACCGGCCATATGTATAAAAATTTGAAGGGAGTTCTCATTCTGTGATGCTACAGTCATTTTTGATATAATCGACCCAATAGTTGCACAGCAAAATTGCCTCTAGGCTAGCAAAATGTTTGTTCGTTGATAGTATTGGAAATGTCTCTAGTAAGGGTATATCGGCGTTTCTTTTCCTTTATCACGCAATCAAACCCCTTTTTTTAATTTTGGATAATGCCAATTCATGACAAAATTGCTTGCACGAAACTCTTGTTGCGCTCTGCGACATAAATAATACACGAAGTAATTGGGTTCGCTCTTCGGCCAGTGAGTATCGTCTTCAATAAGTAATAAAAGGACGGCGGTCATTTTCTGTCAGCATTTAGCTAATACCAGACCGAGACATCCAATATGAAATAACGTAAATAGAAATTGGGGCCCAAGGGTCTTTATTTATTAATGAGATAAACAAAGCTGTAAAGTTGCCTTCTTTTAACCTTACACGTCATTACGACTATAGTTCACATAATTTCTCTCAATTTATTATGACAGATCTAAGTTCATGGACCTAATTTCTCCATTTTACTATTAATGGTTAAGCATTCGCTGTAACGGATTTGATATAAATTAAGTATTAAAAATCATACCTATATCTTTTATAATTCCAAGAGCAAGTAGGTATTTTTTCCAGTTTAGGGTTTTTAGAGTGTTCTTTTTATTATTTTTTAGTTCCGATATTTCAGCGGACTCTTCCTGCCAATCTCCTTGATCTTTCTATTCATGGAAAGAAATAATTGCTCCTTTTTATCCCTATTATCACCGACCTATTCTGTTATTATATGACAATTAAACACTCTAATGGCCAGTTGCACCGACAAAATTAAGTATCGCTTAAAGTTAAGCGTAACTTAAATTCCATGGCAACGATTGTCTTAATAATTGTTGCCATAGATCTTAGGTTCGACTTAACTTTAAGCAAGGCTTAATTTTGTTGGTGCAACTGGGTATTAAACTAATGAGATTTAAAAGAGTTGTTTTATTAGATTTAATTTTCGCTTAAAGGCTTTTCTTTAGTTATCGGACGATTCAGAAGCTTAATTTTACTTTCTCAAAGGATTTGATGATGATACATGAACTGTAGGAAGTGTTTGTGACTTCAGCATTTGCACTGTGACATTCAGCCCCAGTTGCACCAACAAAATTAAGCCTTGCTTAAAGTCTATGGCAACGATTATTAAGACAATCGCTGCTATGGCATGTAAGTTATGCCTAACTTTAAGGGATACTTAATTTTGACGGTGCAATTAGCCCTCAATCTGCTATTTGTTTATTCGGTATACAATCTCATGCATTTGACTCAAGGAATCTCGTATAAGTATTCCTTGATTATTAATTGTAAGGCGAAGTTTAGCATTTCGTAGATACAAAAGAGAAGCTATTTTCCAGTAACATATCTAGTCAGCTAATCAAAATCTTCTCCGTTTGTGTTATCGTCATATGTCATATGTGTACTGTGCTCGTCCAGATTCATCCCTGGTCTTTGACATTAGAAGGGCCATTTTGGTGTCAAATTTTGCGCGCTTAATTACGGAAGCGATTGCCATATGTCCTGGAACTTTAGCACAGACAGGAGCCGCGAAATTAATTAAAAACCGAATTAATATGCACAGTATTCAGAGCGAAGACAGCGTGAAGCTAGAATTTCCCTGCTCCACTTCTACTAAATTGGGTTTTCTTTATAAGGTAAATATAAGATAAACGCTCAATTTTGGAAGTAAGTCATTTATTGTTCTAATTTTATTTGCGAAACCGCACCATTTCGAATTTAAATCAACCGAAATCCTTTTGTTTTTACCGTAAGTCAATCTGTAGCGTTTTTATTTTATTACCGTATTAATTTTGACCTATAACTTGTGCCACCATTCCGCTTAGCTTTATTTTATAAGCTTAACGTACCGTTCCTTTTACTTAGGTTTGCACCGTTTTGCCGCTTCACTAGCCAACCGTTATTATTTAAGGAAAATGACCGCCAGGGCCGTAGGTCATATTTTGTTTTAGGTAATCTGGAAGTGACCGTCGCCATTTTGTTGCTGAGCTCGTGCCAATCCATGGTGCAACCGTTTCTCCACTTGAGATTACCGGAAGGCTTTCAACACCGTCCGTCCGTCCCCAATGAGATACCCACTTTGAGTTTTCAACTATTATTTTGTTCCTTAATTAACTGCACTAATTATTGGGTCTCATGGATTTAGCAACTGATTGTGCGTGTGCTCAGGCGAAAGTCGCAAATTAATAAGTAATTCATACATTTAAACTGAAGATTGGAATATAAAACGGTAGTTAATAGTAGCAGTAAAGAAACAGATTAATTATACAATAGAATAGAAAAAAAAAAGGTGTTGTTTCTAAAGTATAGGGCGTTTCAAAAAATTTTCTTTGCAGAAAATGGAACCGAACGGGAATAATAATGAAGAAATGGAAGGGGTGCGGATTTCTTTAACGAATATTATAATGACGTAGCAGATACAAGTACTTTTGGGTAAGATTCCTAAATCAGAGAACTTATACAAAAATCTCACAATATTTCAAATCACTTCCAGATTGAAAAGGAGAAGGGAAAGATGGGATTGTAGTGCGGGCCTTTTGGGCTTCACGAAAGGAATGAAAGAGCAGATCGACAGCTGGAATTTTGCACGCAGCACCATCATCATCCTCGGAGGCGGTACACCTGGATACACCAGGTGATAGCCGAAGGTACCAAATCGACTATATTAAAGTCAAGCAAAGAATTAGAGACCCAATAAAAAACTACAGAACTTATACAGATCCAGATGTGGACAATGACCATAATTTAGTGCTAGATATATTTTACCTCACATTCAAAAGACTGACAGGGAAAGATAAGCAACAAATGGTGGTTAGAGAGGTTAACATCTGAGGAAGTAAGAGTGGCATAAGGCGAAAAGTCAAACATACATGCGATCACAGGAATAAAGGATATAGAAGAAAGATGGGTGAATTTGAAAACTAGTATGGTACACAGCGCAGAAACAAATAAGTCGACAGAAAGCACATACTAGAAGAGAGTGGATAACTGAGGAAATTATTGAGAAAATGAAGAAGAAAAGGAAATTGTAACAAGACCATACAGAGGAATGAAGGAGGAAGTACAGAACAATAAGGAACG